GCAGTATTTCTAGATCATTTTTCATTTCTCTCCAAATTTAAAGAATCAACGATCAAAAACCTAATTCAGATTATTCGGAATTTGATTTATACAAATGCATTGTATAATTGAAATATAAATCTTGTTAACATATTACCTTTTGTGATATTCTTCGATATGCAGCTTGAATAGTTTTCGCAGTAAAACCAAAAATACCAGTGTCTGGCTTAGCAGTCTGATATGTATTTTGTGTTAGTAGCTAGAAAGATTATAATAATTTTTCAACATATATATATATATATATATATATATATATATACTAGCTGACCCGGCAAACGTTGTTTTGCTAAATAGGGTATATTCTAAACCATTTCTAGAGAATCAAAAATATTAATACTTTAAGTGTATAAGGATGTGTTGTTTGAATACTATATATACAATGAGCAATGATTATAAAAACAATAAACTGCATTAGTTTGTCTATATTTTGTCAATACATTCAAACTGCAAGTTTTATACACTTTCTATAGAAAACATCATATAATCCAATCCGAGTCTTTTTTGGTCTTTCGGCTTATTAATTACGTTTCAAGTTTTTCAGATTCTTTTTGGATTCTGGATTTTGTGTATAATTGTAAATAATACTACTGAGCTTACACAAATTTTCAAATTTTTGCGAGGAGAGATAAAAAATGAGTTAGGTATTTCTTCTTTGACCTGCTTTTTGAAAAGTTTCAAGTTACATTCGATGAATTAAAGTAAATTTAATAAAAAGTATATATGTAGAGCAGGGCGAGACACAAAGGTCCAATTTGATTTGAGCAAATATAAACTATATTGTGAAAACCATAACAATTATATCACAACAAATAAGACATATCAAACGAACAATTATCTGACTACGTTCAGTAAACTGTCTTCTACTTCATCATTGTAGAAATGTGCTTTTTTGCTGTATTTCAAAAATTTGTTATCTTTTTAACAAATAGGCAAGGTAACTTGGAACAGCCAGGTGGCAAATAGGTTTAATATCTTATTTTAATTTTAATAATACAAAATAATTACATTTTTAACTAATGCTAAAAAACTACCAACGCAAAAAAATACTTTTATTATGGATTTTCAAAGATTACCGTTTATCTCCCCCATTTCAAAGATTATCGTTTTCAAATCAAGTTTGTAGCTGGCTATACATCTTTTTTCCTCTACTTTCAAATATTGTTGTTAAACAATGCTTAACTTTTGTGGTTTTTGACACTTCGGTGGTGGAACATTTTAACCCCGGACCTTCATATATTACTATCTATTCCTCGATAAATTCTACGAAATTATAACTGGGAAAATGTTATTCGGCAAAATGTCCCTTTGATCAATACCAAATTTAGGTTTTGAATTTTAAATAACATAAATAAAAAATAATATAACCTAGAAAATGTTTTATAAATATCAATGAGTATATAATTATACAAATGTGATCTTTCAGATCTCCGTGTTTGAGAAAAATATGCTAAAAAGTGCATTTTTATATTAACATTTCAAAAGAGTTGATATTTTGAGTTTCTAGTAACACTTGCGGCCCGTTTACTAACGTTTTTATATATAAATAAAACTATAAACAAAGCTACTTACTACAATTTAATTATAATTAAATTGTATTCACGTAAAATATCCTATTGAACGTAATTGAACATCATCTGTCAAAAACGTTTGACATTTCATGGATTAGCAACCTTCCATTGCTTTAGTTAGATTACGCTTCTACAAAAATTTTCAAATTAAAAGTAAAAAGTTTCTACTCGGATTTGAAATAATTTCTCATCTTTTGGACTTTCTCTGGATTGGCACGAATTTTTCAAGACTAAGACTGGCCAAATCGATTCAGCCGTTTTCGAGTTTTATTCGGACATTTGAAAGAGAGCTCCATTTTTATATATAGATATATATATATATATATATATATATATATATATATATATATATATTTGAATAGTCTTGAATTTGATGTTGATATATATTTTTAGTTTGAGTTAAAAAGTCGGGCGTTACATCAATAAAAAGAGTATGAGAGTTTTTTAGAAATTTATTTATTTAAAATCCATACGTTTCGGCTAGCATCTTAGCCTTCATTCAGCGGTAATCAATTTAAAATTTTGTATTCAGTCAGGTAAATCGTTATGTACTGCGGAGTTCTATTAATAGAATAAAATTGACAACTCCGCAGTATATAACGATTTACCTGACTCAGAGACTCATTCTGGTGTAATATGTTCACCATACATTGAAGAATTGTTTGTTCCTTGGAAAAAACTTTTTTATAAATCTGGACTCCGAATTGTAAACAATATTAGTACAACGACTAGTACTATTTTTACCAAAACAAAAACCCAGTTTAATATAGATCGACTTAGAAATCTCGTCTATCAATTAAATATATCTATATTTTCAATAGAAAATAGACATCGCGCTGCCCGATGTCAGATTGCCAGAACGGGCATTCGAACGCCCGACCCTGTCCATACAAAGTCAACGCGTTAACAATCTTCGCAACGACGAATCCTATATACGATATATAGCATATATATAGCATATATATAGCTCGTATATATAGCAGAATGACCCAGACAACAGAATGAGTCTCTGAGTCAGGTAAATCGTTATGTACTGCGGAGTTGCCAATTTTATTCTATTATATATATATATATATATATATATATATATATATATATTTTGTAGAGTTTCGAACAAGAATCCAAAAATAATACAAAATAAAAAACAAGAAAAGTTTTTAATAAACAATTTCTTTATTTAATTATTTGTTTTACTGTCGACGTTTCGGAACTAGGTACGTTCCATCTTCAGGACATCTGTCAAGAAACATGATCTTGATGAGATTTTAGCAAACAATATGTTTAGGAAAAGAAAATAGATTTTTCTTAAATAATAAATTAATTGCAAAAAAATATATATATAATAATGTACAGAAATATGTTAATATGATCACAATGAAAATGATAAAAATAAATGAGTGGATTATCAGAACAGGATATTAAACATAATAGAAATTTTTTTGAAAGTTATGGAAAAATTTTTTAAGAAAAGGTTAATGACAAAGTTGAATTAATTACCTGTATGTTTGAATATATGTTAGCACTTTTTCACTAAACAAGTTTTTTAACAAAAATGAAATTGTGAATTAAATAAAGAAATTGTTTATTAAAAACTTTTCTTGTTTTTTATTTTGTATTATTTTTGGATTCTTGTTCGAAACTCTACAAAATATACACAAATCCAAGACTCTACCATTCAATATATATATTTATATATATATATATATATATATATATATCTTATATATAAAATTCTTCTGTAACAATGTAAGTTTCATTAATCCTCCTAAACTATAATTCGTATTTTCACGAATCTTCCTGAAGTTTGTTCGGGAAATTTTCTAGAATGTTTTGATTCATAGAAATATAGTTAGATTGTAGAAATAAATGGAAAAAAATACAAAAAACCGCTTATCATTGTTTGACCTTTAAAATATTTAAGGCATGGTTTGACATTAAAAACAAATGACAACTGTCATTTGCCAAACATTTCTATCACTTATAGGCTAAGGCAATATTAAAATATAATAAATTCATGATTAAAAATAAAGAAAATGTAATGTCTACATTATTATTGTCGAAAAGCAGCTGAGATGTGCCAAATTAAAATAATATAAGATGCAAATAAATAAATAAATGCGTCTGACAGTCTGCGCATGCGTCTGACGCGCACGGCGAATCGTGTTCTCAACGTACACGTGCTTTTGCTTGCAATAATTTTGTTTGCGCACTTTGCGAACAGATTCGCCTTACGAATTCGTGCAAAGAAGACGAGACATAAGTGATTGCGCTCAAAAATTCAATTTGCGGTCGTTTTGCCTTACTATACTAAGTCACAATACAAAAAAAATTATTTAGAAGTTTCATTGTGTCAAAAATTCATATGGTTGGCATTTTGTACGGAATATTTACTTAATGGAGCGCTTTGGGTCTGAACTTTTTTTACTGTTTTCCAATTCGTTTGGAATTTTGGAATTAGGCTCATCTTACTCTCAAGTTCAAAAGTGAAAACAATTTAGACTCCTTTGCACTACCCGGAGGGATGCCATTTCTTTTCAGTGGTGTAATAACGTTGGGTGTGGATGAAAGAACTAATTATAAGAGAAAAATGTTTAATAATGTTTTTCAAAAAAGCAAATATTTTTCAAGTTACTAGCTACTGAAAATTTGTTTCTTTTTTGCGTTTTTCATCGTTTTTTGCTAATATCTTCGAAAATATACATTTTAACGAAAATTATGTAATGAACAAAATTATATCAATAAAAATCCTAATAAATCGCTATTTTACAGTGTTCTAGGAACAATATTAGGTTAATTATGAAAATGGGATTTTATAGTTCTCCAAATAAGCTTTAAAAGAAGTACTTCTGCGTGTAAAATGAGTGAGCTATCATGCAATTAAAAGACGCATACAATGTTTTTTTTTTCATTTAAATCAAAGAGTTTATGAGTGCCATTTCCACCAAAATTAAAAATAATCGTTTTCCATCTATAAAAGTATATATATGAAAATTCAAGGTATTTTTTAAATCAATTATTGCTTTTTATTATTTTTTGTTACACAAATATTGATAGAGTTCTAATTGTTTAAAGAGTGCGCGGCTGTCCAACCGGAGTGTCTTTCGAGCCCTTTAACCCTTCGCCGTTTCAAAATAAAAGAAGCTACGGTAAAATTTATGATAGAGAAAGTTGTAGCTCATTTAATCAACATTATTGAAGTAATTATTTTGGGTAGAAAAATCCAAGGTGATATTGTATCTTGACCGCATGCTATATATTAATTCTTTCTGAATTTGTTATACTTTTTAAAAGATTTCAATTTTCAACACGTGTATCTATGCTATGACCATAAATACATGGTGATAAATTTGGAAAATCAATGTTTTAGCCGTGAATAAACAAAAAATCATTCATTTAAACATTCACATCTACAGGTATGTCTAAAAATATTGTATAACCCTTAAATTGAATAAAATAAATTGAGCTATTGGAAATAAATTTGTTCTATAAATCGCAGTGTTTAATTTTTAATATATAATTTTATTGAACATATTTTAATATTTGTTAAAGGGATAATTGAAGTGTTAACTGTGGGATGTGAGAATAATCATTTTATTTGAAACAGTACTAAATTTAACATCACTCATATATTGGTGTGTAAATAGTAACTCGAAAAACAATAATGATTATTTTTAACTGAACGGTATAAATATTAGTATAGGATATTAAAAAAACGTAGAGGTGGGTACAGGACAACGTCTGTCGGGTCATCTAGTATATATATATATATTTCACTGTAATAACAATTCGAATCATTATTTTGTTTAATAATTACAAAACGCGTTGCTAGTTATATGTAGGTTACGCGGACATCGGAAGTGCTTACTGTTGGATTTTGTAAATAGGTTGTAAACAAGAAATTAGTATATAAGAGTTAGACAAAAGTTAGACTGTCAGTCAAGCGTGAGTCAAGCTTGGAGCCAGACATAGTATTCAGTAAAATGTAGTCTTTGCTGATATGATAACCAAAAGGTTATCAATAAATATTAATTGTAAAAATAGTGAATAATAAAAGTATCATTCAAAGAAAGAAGTGTGTTTACAAATTACTATCAATCGCTCTGGAGAGTCCACATCACAAATATAATATTTCAACAACTATTCAACTGTTCACCGCTCGGGTCCAGCCTATCATTACAATTCCTGGTCGTACTGGTGATCCAGAACATACATCCAAAGACATCACCAACCATCAGGACACTTTATGGTGGCTTAGCGGTTTTTTCCCTCGTAGCGCTGAAGAATTTTCTGACGAAGACATCGAGTTCAATAGCTGCCACAACTCGATAAACCGAACGATCATTCGCAGCACAAACTAAGTGATGGTGGCGCCTACCGAAGAACTTTAGAACGAACGCGAGTCTACGACTAACTTGGACATAACTATCTCATCGGATTCAAGTAAGCAAATCAAAACTTAATCATATCTCAAGATGGAACCCATTTTTGCAGAAGCTAGAGAAGGTAAAGGTAATAGTATAGAAATAAATAAATTTAGAATTCAGTTAGCAATTAGCACTATACCCGATTTTAATGGTAATTCAGATGACCTCTTTAAATTTTTAAGTACTGTAGGCTCTATTTTAGATGATGTGGATTTTGAGACATACAAATTTATATCAAAAATTGTTATTTGTAAATTAAGTGGAACAGATTTTGATTGCATTAGACGGGCTGATTATCAGTTATGGGATAATATCAAACCTATTCTAATTAAACGATTTAAAGGTAGAAGGTCAATTTCTGATTTACATCACGAGCTTGCAACAACAACAAGAAAAAATGGGGAATCGATTGAGGAATTTGCAGAGAAAGTTGAGAGTTTGCTTACGTTAATAAACAACGAATGCTATTTTACACATAATGAAATAGCGTATCCATCATATTGTGACTTGGCTTTGGCAGTTTTCGTTAAAGGCCTACCATTGGACTTGAAAATTATTATTATCCAGCCAAACCGGAAAATTTGAAGGATGCAAAGAATATCGCTGCAAAAGAAGAAAACTATTTAAACATCAGATCTGATAAAAAATACAACCCATTCGTCACTTGCAGATACTGCAAGAAAAGGGAACACCACATTAACCAATGTCGAAAACTTACAAATAGGAAAAGAGATGACAAACTTAGAATCTACAATGGTGGAAATGACGATAGAATGGATTACGAAAGTAATAAGGATCTGAAATATACAAAAACATATGATGATACATACAAGGCATTCATAACAACTAAAGAAGAGTCCGAAGAGTCCAGAGAATCCGAAGAATCCGAAGAACAAGAAGAATACAAAGCAGAAAGTTTGACTCACAACACAACACAACAGAAAAGGGAACACCACATTAACCAATGTCGAAAACTTACAAATAGGAAAAGAGATGACAAACTTAGAATCAACAATGGTGGAAATGACGATAGAATGGACTACGAAAGTAATAAGGATCTGAAATATACAAAAACATATGATGATACATACAAGGCATTCATAACAACTAAAGAAGAGTCCGAAGAGTCCAGAGAATCCGAAGAATCTGAAGAACAAGAAGAATACAAAGCGGAAAGTTTGACTCACAACACCAAAATAGAAGAGTTGACGACAATCGCTGGAAATTCATTCGAAGAAGAAAAGGATCTATATGAGGCAGAAGATATGGAACAAACCATACCAACAAATTCATACGAAGAAGAAAAGGATCTATATGAGGCAGAAGATATGGAACAAACCATAGGAACAAATTCATATGAAGAAGAAAAAGATCTGAACATATATGTGGCACAAGATATGAAACAAGCCCAAGATGAGGTTTACGACATGAAAGAAATAAATAATGAACAAGAAGAAATAAGAATACTTAATGATGAAGGACCAGAATATATGAAAACCATTCCCATTAAAATAAAGAAGAAAAAGAAAAAGAAAAGAAATATTAAAAGAAGAAAAATTAATGATGAAATTATAGAAGAAAATAATCAAGGAACCAGGGAATATAAAGTTAATATCATAAGAAAATTACCTTCACAACGAAAATTGTCAATAAATGAAAATATAGCCACTATTACAGATATGTTCAACCGTAAGAAAATGAATTTGAACACAAAGGAGAAATATGCACATTTACAAAGCCAAAGCAGCAGAAAATTGCAAACACATGTAAAGAAGAGAAACATTCCCGATTTCATTATATTCAGAACAGCACCAAAATTGTTTTATTATAAATACCGGAAGAAAATAAAACTTCGCCAGGTGTAAACACATGAGTAACAAAGCAAGTCATTTTGTTTGGTTGACATAAGCGAATTCTCATATTTCAGAGCAGCATTTGTCCAATTTTGATTACCTAGCAAATTTCGAATATATCAAGTATTAACAATACAACGTAAATTTAAATTTTCATTAATTACTATTTATGATTTAAATTATCAAATGCAAGATTCTTTACGCCATTATTAATTTCTTGCAGATTTTAAAGACATTTTTCATATTATGATTTTTATGCTCTATTGATATAAAAGTTTTTGAAAAAAAAATTATTTTGCATCATTTATGATAAGTTGTTCGAAGCATATTTTGTTTTACCGGAATAACATTTTAAATTTCAGTGATGCCTTTACATAATCAGCGACCATCTAAATTGCATTCAACTGCTGATTTTTTTTTTTTTGTATGTATGTTATTGAAGATTTATTAATGTAGAGATAAAAATAAAATTATTATGAGATTTTTTTTTAGAGCACATATATTTGTAAACATATTCTAACAGGAATGACACTTTTGAGGACAAAAGTTCTTAAGGGCCGAAGGAAAAAGAGATGGAACTCATTTTTTTTAAAAAATCTTCTTAATTTTTATAGTTTTCCGAGGACGAAAAACTTTTGAAGAGGGAGGTTGAACTGTAATAACAATTCAAATCATTATTTTGTTTAATAATTACAAAACGCGTTGCTAGTTATATGTAGGTTACGCGGACATCGGAAGTGCTTACTGTTGGATTTTGTAAATAGGTTGTTAACAAGAAATTAGTATATAAGAGTTAGACAAAAGTTAGACAGTCAGTCAACGTTTGAGTCAAGCTTGGAGTCAAGCTTGGAGTCAAGCTTGGAGCCAGACATAGTATTCAGTAAAATGTAGTCTTTGCTGATATGATAACCAAAAGGTTATCAATAAATATTAATAACGACGACTAGTACTATTTTTACCAAAACAAAAACCCATTTTAATATCGATCGACTAGATTGTCTAGACTGTAATTTAATTTAAATAGGAGAAACAAGCCAGAACTTAATTAAACGTTTACAACAACATAAAAACAATTAAAAAATCCGAGACTATTTAAAACTATGCTTGCGTACCATATTTATACTTTGAAACATAATATGGACTTTTCTAACCCGACTCTACTACAAATCGAATAAAATTTATTCAAACGAAGAATTATAGAAGAATCTATATATATATATATATATATATATATATATATATATATATATCTATAGAAAAATTTTAAATAAATTTTTGAAAGAAATTCATGTTTTTTATTGAGGTTGCCCGGTGCCCGATTACTAGACTTTGTTAATATATATATATATATATATATATATATATATATATATATTTAGTCATATATGAACTTGATTCCATTTAGTCAACTTACCAAACAGAAATAATGTAATTTATAATTCATATAACAACATTTTTGACCGAGTTGAGTTTCATCCACATCTGATCTTCTGCAAATGTCGCATATCATTTTCTCATTCCCAATTGTCACTGTTGAATATACTTGTTTCTTTGATTTAACCATTCTTAAGAATTTATAAATCTAAAATATTATATAAATATAAAAGTTAAAAAAAGCTGGAAATCGCAACATAGCACAATCATGATAAATAAGTAAAAATATACATGTTGTTGGCACAATCAAATTCAATTAAAAATTATCATGCGTTTATGACATTTATAAATTTATGAATCATACAAAACATTAGTTCCTGTAATTAAATTTACTGCTTGTGACTTATAGACTATTAAAATGATTTATCTCAAAATGTTGGTTTTCAAGAGCTTTATATTTCAAAGTCAAAACTATTACATAGAAAATTTAGCTTGTTGAAGTCTCTTTTCTAGGTACCCGAATACTAATATATAAAAATTAGTATGCACCCATGTGACTCAGTTATATTTAATTCGGTACCAATGGTCTATAAACATAATAAAGAAATGTGAAATTTCTCCATAATGTCGAATCGAGTGTTCATAACAAACGGCCCAAATTGATAATAGCAATTTTCATGATAAAAAAATACATGTTAATAATAAGTGCACTTATTATTAACATGTATTTTTTTTAAATAATAATATTTAAATTAAAACAAAATTAAACAGCCCAAAATTCAAAATTAAACAGCCCAAATTGATAATAGAAATTATCACTTATTAGTAACATGTATGTTTAAATAATAATACCGATATTAATACTGGAGTGCTGGTATTTTATTTTTCGAATATTGAATTCCAGAATTCAAGGATTAGTTCAGTATTGGAAGCTCTAATAATGATACAAAATCATAAAAATATAAATTTATATTTATATATAAATTTATGATACCTTCATCTCATTGTAACCACATTCTGAATAAATTTATAAATAAATTACTTGTCTATATACTTCCATACAAATAATAACAAGTATAACTTTTATATAACTATATGTTTTAACATGATAAATATGAATTCACTTACCAGCATATACACAATGTTACTTTGTAAAAGTTGAGTCCTTTTTAAAGATCTATGAATACACATTAATGTTTATCAATAATTAAGGTGTTAATATAACATAAATGTATTTGATTATAAGCAAAGTGAGACATAACATTATTAGAAAACACAATGAAGTTTATAAATTGTCTATTTTAATAAAATACACTTATGCCAGAATGTAAAATATGCTAAACAAACAACTATTCCTTTCATAAAGAGGTCAGACAGGAGCGATGAGCTCGTCTTTTATAAGAGTTAGCACAAAAATTATATTCTAAACAATAAAATAATTGATAATGAGAAGATTTCGACTTGGTACGCAACAGTCTACATTTTTTGACATTTGTACAATTGCATTTTGTTTTGATTTATTTTATTATTTTCTTATCAGTTTAAATTGTTTAAAAATAATCTGATAAAACTACTAAAAACTTAATGATCCTCAGGTTAATGATTATATTACCTTCACAGTGAGCATAAAAAAAATCTTTTTCATTTCAACTGGCACATCACACAATTGAGTGAATAATGAATTTATTGATTCTTATTATTATATGGAAAATAGAATCACACAGACCGTTACTATTTCGTAATATTTTTAATTTTCAGGTAATGTTTTCACAAGAAATGCCAAATTAAACAAACAGTTTTGAAATATATTGAAAATATTTAATAAAAGTGGGTTGTCATGAAATTATTATAGTATGGAAATAGAAAATATTACAATTTATATTAATTTTGATTTGTATAATGATTTTGACATATATAAAATTAATATTAAAACATCAGTTTAAGGCAAGAAGGTTAAAAACGTAAACAATTACTATCTCAGAACAAAATACGCATTTAGAAGGGCTAATTAGGGGTCCATTCGTAGTCGCAAATTTGGCGCTAGTGAGCCGATGAAAAAGTATTTTCAAATGTTTTATGCATAGATAAATAAGCATATGGTTTTATGTTGGTTACTAAGAAAAGTTAGTGTCTTAGATAAATAAGCATAAAGTCAGTGTTATTTTTGTGTCAGTTTACAAAACGGCGATTCTTGTTCGTTTGTGTTTGTATATTTGTTAAAAGGGCGCATTAAAGAAGAGAGATTTCACTGATTTTTTTTTACTACACTGATTGTGAGTTACTTTTTATCACAGCTTGCTCTCGAGAAGGCCAGTTTTATATTTAATATTTATAGTTTTTTTTGCTTTTTATTATAATTCATTCATTTTATGTTCATTGCGGTTTATTCGTTTCGGCTTTTTTTATTACACAGCAATTTATTTCCTATTTATATATTTACATTTTTGAGTTATGTTTTATGGATTCTTTTCTTTTATATTTACGTGTAGGTTTTAGAGATCATTTTAGTAAGGCTTAAATTTTATAGAATGTTTTAGTTATAATTAACTTCCCGTAGGGTAGTTATAGCAATGGGCTAAAAATCAAAATTGAATTTTTTTCATTTCTCGACGTTTTGAAGGTTTCTGAACATTTTGGCATACTTTAGAAAAAATGTTGTAGTTGAGTCCTTTTTAAAGATCTATGAATACACATTAATGTTTATCAATAATTAAGGTGTTAATATAACATAAATGTATTTGATTATAAGCAAAGTGAGACATAACATTATTAGAAAACACAATGAAGTTTATAAATTGTCTATTTTAATAAAATACACTTATGCCAGAATGTAAAATATGCTAAACAAACAACTATTCCTTTCATAAAGAGGTCAGACAGGAGCGATGAGCTCGTCTTTTATAAGAGTTAGCACAAAAATTATATTCTAAACAATAAAATAATTGATAATGAGAAGATTTCGACTTGGTACGCAACAGTCTACATTTTTTGACATTTGTACAATTGCATTTTGTTTTGATTTATTTTATTATTTTCTTATCAGTTTAAATTGTTTAAAAATAATCTGATAAAACTACTAAAAACTTAATGATCCTCAGGTTAATGATTATATTACCTTCACAGTGAGCATAAAAAAAATCTTTTTCATTTCAACTGGCACATCACACAATTGAGTGAATAATGAATTTATTGATTCTTATTATTATATGGAAAATAGAATCACACAGACCGTTACTATTTCGTAATATTTTTAATTTTCAGGTAATGTTTTCACAAGAAATGCCAAATTAAACAAACAGTTTTGAAATATATTGAAAATATTTAATAAAAGTGGGTTGTCATGAAATTATTATAGTATGGAAATAGAAAATATTACAATTTATATTAATTTTGATTTGTATAATGATTTTGACATATATAAAATTAATATTAAAACATCAGTTTAAGGCAAGAAGGTTAAAAACGTAAACAATTACTATCTCAGAACAAAATACGCATTTAGAAGGGCTAATTAGGGGTCCATTCGTAGTCGCAAATTTGGCGCTAGTGAGCCGATGAAAAAGTATTTTCAAATGTTTTATGCATAGATAAATAAGCATATGGTTTTATGTTGGTTACTAAGAAAAGTTAGTGTCTTAGATAAATAAGCATAAAGTCAGTGTTATTTTTGTGTCAGTTTACAAAACGGCGATTCTTGTTCGTTTGTGTTTGTATATTTGTTAAAAGGGCGCATTAAAGAAGAGAGATTTCACTGATTTTTTTTTACTACACTGATTGTGAGTTACTTTTTATCACAGCTTGCTCTCGAGAAGGCCAGTTTTATATTTAATATTTATAGTTTTTTTTGCTTTTTATTATAATTCATTCATTTTATGTTCATTGCGGTTTATTCGTTTCGGCTTTTTTTATTACACAGCAATTTATTTCCTATTTATATATTTACATTTTTGAGTTATGTTTTATGGATTCTTTTCTTTTATATTTACGTGTAGGTTTTAGAGATCATTTTAGTAAGGCTTAAATTTTATAGAATGTTTTAGTTATAATTAACTTCCCGTAGGGTAGTTATAGCAATGGGCTAAAAATCAAAATTGAATTTTTTTCATTTCTCGACGTTTTGAAGGTTTCTGAACATTTTGGCATACTTTAGAAAAATGGATGCGTGTGTACATTGTGTGTCCGCATTTTTTCGTTTACGTTTTTGGGGGCACGGATCAACCGATTTGAATGACTTAACAAGCATTCAATTAGTAATGATTGGAAGAAGCTCGTTATTAGTTTTTGGAAGATGGAGGCCCAGGAATACTTTCGGGCGCACGGATCAACCGATTTGAATGGTTCAAAAAATATTCGATTCCTATTGATAGTGAAATAAAAAGCAAAGAGTGCAGAAAATAGAAGTCGAGTTTTTGAGAGAACGGAGCATCCGATTTGAATGATCTAAAAAATATTTAATTAGTAATGATTCGGAGAAGTGTTTATTAGTTTTTGGCATAGGCAGGCCCAGCCATTTCAAAGATACGGAGCTAAATGTGTAAAAAATGGCAGTTTTTGAGAGAACTAAGCGTCCGATTTAAATGATTCAAAGAACTTTCTGCTTGTCTTAACAAAATAATTGACTTTGAAAAAAAAATTTGTTTTAATTAATTTGTTTTCAATAAACATTTTTTTTTGTATATCAAAAATAATTTAGATTTTATTTTTAATTCTGACTATAGTTCTAATATACTTTAAACAAATAATTTCAACTTTGGAATTCAGTTTATATAATTCTTATAAATATTAGACAATGTTACAATATTAATATAATAATCTATTTGAAAACATTCAGCGAACAACAAATAGCATATCAGTCAATGAAAAAACAAAATTAAAACACATTTGATGTTATAATACTAAATCTAAATACTTCATACTGTCTTGGAATAGATATGTTTCGTATTTTTTGCAATATTTGTTATTAGGGAACAAGATATATTGAATTTTAAATTATTATATTGTCTAAGGTAGGCTATCATCTTGGTCCTAGACAATATAATAATTATAATAATAATAATATTGATCTTGACAGGTTTTAGCTGTCAAAGACCATTACTTTTGAACTTGACAGCTAATTTCTCTTTCCGCGGCAACGTCATGCTGGCTGAAATGTTAGCAAATGTCAAAAATTAGCATGTTTTAAGGTGGTGTCTGTGATAATAATGATCTTGACAGGTTTTAGCTGTCAAATGGTCAAAGTTATGAATCCAATCATAGTCCAATTCGCTCAGAGCGTGACTGCAGCGCCCATGCAGCGCCGTAATAAATATGAACTAATTGTGGCTATCAGTGTGTGGTTTTCATGGGTTTTATATGTTTGTTAAAGAAAAAAGATATTAAATAATTGTTATAAATAATAATGAACGAGATACAATAATAATGTGAACGCTGAATGTTTATTGAAATTATTAAATTTACTTCAACGTACTTAAAACATAATTAAGTATAATGATTAATTAAATAAAGAAATGCAATAAACATTTTTAAGGTTAAGTGCCTCAAAGCTTATGTCATAATCTCGGAATAGTTCTTAATAAAAACAATATAATAATGATAAAAATATTTTATCAACAGAATAAGTAAATAATAAATTAATTTACTCTTTTTTTATTATTTTTGGTCAAACTAAAGACTTACAATAAACATTATTATAAAGACATGATTTGATTCCATCATCCATCAAATAAAATTGCAGGAACAAAAACTACATTAACTTTTCGAGGCTTGTAAATTGAAGGAAATATTGTTGGCAAGTAGATAGGACTCAATACCTCATCCGATTTTTTTCCTCTAATGAAATTTTCACTGCAAATGCGATCATAAGGTTTGGGAACCCACGGCGGTGATCCATCAACACTACAAATATATATTTTCCATTATTTCAGCATTGTATTAATTAAACGGTTTGCAAAATAAACATTTTAGCGCCATGTGATAACTTTTCTTTTTCTTTTAATCATAAAATTACAATTATTATATAATAAAATGTAATTAATATATAGATAATAGTTATACATAATCAATATACAATATATAAATATATATTTTTCATTATTTCAGCCTTGTATTAATTACATTGTTTGCAAAACAATTTTTTCTAGTAAGCATTAAATTTTGATAATTTAACAATTTATTGACTTACAATTTTTCTTTTTGCTAAACATAACAATTTTACAACTATTCATAGTACTCCGAATTGAATTTTTATTATCATTTATCAAAATTTCGGTTACAATGGCTACATTTAATGCTCAAAGTAACCACTACGAACGCTTCGGTCGATTTGACATCCCCTTCCATGCCTTCGCATCACTTCGCATATTCGCTCAGAGCGTGACTGCAGCGCCGTAATAAATATGTGTGGTTTTCATGGGTTTTATATGTTTGTTAAAGAAAAAAGATATTAAATAATTGTTATAAATAATAATAAACAAGATACAGTAATAATGTGAACGCCGAATGTTTATTGAAATTATTCAACGTACTTAAAACATAATTAAGTATAATGATTAATTAAATAAAGAAATGAAGTAAACATTTTTAAGGTTAAGTGCCTCAAAGCTTATGTCATAATCTCGGAATAGTTCTTAATAAAACCAATATAATAATGATAAAAATATTTTATCAATAGAATAAGTAAATAATAAATTAATTTACTCATTTTTTTATTATTTTTGGTCAAACTAAAGACTTACAATAGACATTATTATAAAGACATGATTTGATTCCATCATCCATCAGATAAAATTGCAGGAAAAAAACTACTTTAACTTTTCGAGGCTTGTAAATTGAAGGAAATATTGTTGGCAAGTAGATATAGGACTCAGTACCTCGTCCCATTTTTTTCCTCTAATGAAATGTTCATTGCAAATGCGATCTTAGGTCTTGGGAACCCACGGCGGTGATCCATCAACACTACAAATATATATTTTGCATTATTTCAGCATCGTATTAAATAAACTGTTTGCAAAATAAGCATTTTAGCGCTATGTGATTACTTTTCTTTTTCTTTTAATCATAAAATTACAATTATTATATAATAAAATGTAATTAATATATAGATAATAGTTATACATAATCAATATACAATATATAAATATATATTTTTCATTATTTCAGCCTTGTATTAATTACATTGTTTGCAAAACAATTTTTTCTAGTAAGCATTAAATTTTGATAATTTAACAATTTATTGACCTATAATTTTTTTTGCTAAACATAACACTTTTATAACTATTCATAATACTCCCAATTGTATTTTTATAACAATAAGGTTATGATACTTACTTTAATCTTCTAACCGCAGCGATCCACTTTTTCCGTTGGTTTTCTTTCCACTTAGCTGTAGAAAATGTATAGAATTTGCAGTCACTTTTTCTGCTAGTATTTCTACAACCCACTATACAACAGCTTTGGTGGCTCACTTCTAATTATCCTATTTAAATTTGAAATGAACAAATATTTTATGTGTTTTTATTTAAAATTTCTGTTATAATAGCCAACTTTAATGCTCAAAGTAGCCACAACGCTTCGGTCGATTTGACTTCCCCTTCCATGCCTTCGCACATAGCCTTTGTCGCCAACTTCATGCTGGCTGAAATGTTAGCAAACCTAGACATAGACAATATTAGAATACCCCGTGTTCATATTGGGTATGTGCTTTATAATGTCCATAGATAAAAGAAGAGTATAATGTAATGATAATGTCTTTTGTATATATAATAATGTCTATTGTAAGTCTTTAGTTTGACCAAAAATATTAAAAAAAGAGTAAATTAATTTATTATTTACTTATTCTATTGATAAAATATTTTTATCATTATTATATTGTTTTTATTAAGAACTATTCCGAGATTATGACATAAGCTTTGAGGAACTTAACCTTAAAAATGTTTACTGCATTTCTTTATTTAATTAATCATTATACTTAATTATGTTTTAAGTACGTTGAAGTAAATTTAATAATTTCAATAAATATTCAGCGTTCACATTATTACTGTATCTCGTTCATTATTATTTATAACAATTATTTAATATCTTTTTTCTTTAACAAACATATAAAACCCATGAAAACCACACACTGATAGCCGTTCACGGCGTTTCTCTCGCCCGATTTTTACGTTCAGAAAAAATACTTAAAGGGTCCTCCGCTCAACGTGATGGCGCTGCT